CTACGTCGCTGTAGTTTTCGTCTTCGGTAAGCTCGTTCACAGAGCAATGGTCCACTGTTGTACCCATTTCCACCAACGTCAAGCGGAAACGTGGTGATACTACCGACTCCACACTAGCACTGCCTCCATCGCCGTTCGTACTGTCGGTGCTAGTGGTGGCGGAGACTGGGGGCGTTGTCTGGTCATTGATCCCTGGACAGAAGAACATGTAGTCGATACACTTGCCATCTTTCTCGAGAGACAGTGGGTCTGTCTTATGAAACAGTAGCGAATGTCCGTCACCATTCGTGATCGGGTGGATCTCATCGCCAAGCTTGGTAGTATCACATCGCTTCATAAGGTCGATCATCAGAGACTCTGCTGTGTTGTCTGCGTCGACAGTTTTTCCCGCTACCCTCGCGAAGTTCAACCTTGCCTCGCGTACCACACGCTCAAAGTCCGCCACAAGTTGCTGGTACACTTTGCTCTCTCGACACCGAGTAGATGTGACCAGCCCAGTTTGCGAGTCGTGTACTAAATCGTGTCGAGCGTCGAGGTTGAAGTCGCCTGTGATGAGGACAGGCACTCCGGGGTCGTCTCGGATCGTTCTGGCAACGAAACGGTGCATCTCCTGGATCTGAGCGAGGCGAATACTGTAGTCCTTGTAGTTGTCACCTGCTTGAGTGTGTGTAGTGAATACATGAAGTGAGTCTGAGAGGTCTGGCGATAACTGGATACGAGCGTAGAGCACGCCTTTGGCACAGATTCCGTCACTTCCAGCGCCCTGCGAGTACGCGAGCTGGTCGCGCTCCACGATCGGATAACGACTGAGGATCAACAGTCCGCCATCAATAAGACGAGAGTCCAATAGTCGCGGCCACACAGATCCGCAGTGGTAGCGGAAGCCCATGGCGTAGGCTTCCCGCACGAAGCGCTTCTGTCTTGGTCCGGCCTCGAACATCTCCTGGAGGATCACCACGTCGAATTTGGTCATCTTACGAAGCAGTAACGCTACCCTCAAGTCTTTGTAGTCGCCAGTCTTGAACCACTGACCGCTGTGGATGCCTTCAGGGCGGCAGAAGATCTGTCAATGCACCTCGTTCGATCAGACATATTCGACCACTTCAAAGAAATTCACAGCCACATACGTTTAAGCTGAGCACGGCGAGACGCTCCTGCACTTTTGCCATGGTTATGTAGTCGCTGAAATTGATGGAGATGATAAGAAATCGCTGTTTACAACGCCGAGATTCGAGGTCGCCAAGGCAGGCGGCGAAATGAAGAGTGCCGTTTCTGCTTCGACCGTTTACCAAATGTACCTATCTTTTCATTGGCTCAAACTAGGTTTAGCCAATAAAATCTGGCTCAAGCTTAGACCGTTGGGTACGTGGCAATCCGCATCGCTTGTGCTCGCACAACTGAGCACATCCAACTGCCGCTGCAAGGTGACCAGTGTGCGCTCTGCCTCTCGTACCTGAGCCTCACGCGTCTCGACCAGTGCACAATACTTGGCTACCGAGGATAATTCCTGACGTTTGGTGACGATCTCAGCTCGCAACTCCTTCTGACGTTGAGTGAGCTGCGCCTCATTGAGCTTAAGCTCCCTGGCGACGACGTTGACCTCGTGCATCTGGTCGCTCTGGTCACGGATAAAGTTTGCAGTTTCCAGTTCATCTTTGGCCTCGAACACTTCTATTTTCTTGGTCGTCTTGAAAGTCTCCGATCCTGAAGCAGAACGACGTCACGAACGAAACTTCGGTGAGAGGGGCATGTGATCTGTTGTAGCTGCAAGACAAAACACTGACCCTTACCGATGGTCGTCATACCCTGGACGACAGCGTCGATGTGACGTTGTCGAGCGAGTTCTTGGTTGCTTGTCGCTGCTGTCTCAGCGAGCACAGCACGTAGAACATGAAGCTGCACGTCTTCTCCCCAAGATAAACCTGCGTTGTAGCTCTCGAACATTGGTTCATCCATGTTGAATTGTGTTGCTGCCATGACAGCTTCTGCATCTACATTCACCCCAATGCCATGACGCGCGCCGTCTTCCCACTGTCCGATATACTTGTCCCCAAAAGTGCCGACGTAAACGCCATATCCACTCGCAACTCCGTCACGAAATTCCCCCGAATAATTGGCCCCGTTCGTCTGCAGCTCCACTCCCTCTCCATGCTTCTTTCCACTCTTCATTGCACCGGAATACGTGGATCCCAACACCGAGAGGAGAACTCCTAGGCCATTAGGAATGCCCTCTGTGTAGCTCGACGGACGAGTTAGCAAAGTGTCGAACGTAGCGGCAGCAAGTAAACACGCACCATCGTTGACATCTCCGTGGTACGTCGATTGATCCGTCAGCGTCACCGTTGCCAGCTTCACCATTGGAGTCGGATTAGGACCTTCACTCTCCCCAGAATGATCCTCCTTAACACTAGCGTTCACATCACGGGTGGCTACAGTCGACCCCGGTCTGCTCCGATCGCTGCGGGTAAAGGCAACCGTGCCACTTGCCATTGACGACGTTGCAATGTTTGTTGCCTTTAGGGCCCCCCACCAGTTTGTACGTCCTTTCGCAGCAAACCCTCTATCTAAGGGTTTGTATGCCGA